ACAAGGTGAGACTATAACTAAATTAGATATCTATTTTTCAAATAGTTATAGCCAAGTCCTCTTGGCTACAGCTCTTGTTGAAGTAGAGTCAAGAACAGGTAGTATTGGTTTAGTCTATAGATGTTTGTTGGATCAAGGCTCTCAGGCTTCGTTGATCACGGAGTCTGCTGTCCAAGCCCTTGGACTGAAGAAAATTCCCAACAAGGTCCATATTTCCGGAGTCGGAGGAGGAAATGAATCTTTAGCTTCTATGTCGGTAGTTGAAATCAAGCTAAGGTCAATTCATAATCCTCAATTCACTTTGCTCGTCAAAGCCCATGTGCTTAGCAAACTGACATCTTTTCTTCCCTCAAAGAAAGTAAATGTTCAGTTGTGGCCAGAACTAACAAGATTGAAGTTAGCTGACCCGAAGTTTGACGTACCAAATAAAATAGACTTGTTACTTGGCGCAGACGTCTATGGTCAGATTTTAGTTGAAGGTCTTATCAAGGGTCCTCCCGGGTGTCCTGTAGCCCAGAACACGCAATTGGGATGGATCTTATCTGGTCAAATTCATTCATGTCAAGAACAAAGTCCGAAGTCGTGCCAAGAAAATAGTATTATTGTCAGTATGCACTCCCAGTGCAATGACAATGATCTTTTGAGAAAATTCTGGGAATTAGAGGATGTTTCTTTTAAGAAGAAAATGCTTACTGATGATGAACAGAAATGTGAGGAGATTTTTAAGAATACCGTGACCAGAGATGATTGCGGAAGATATATTGTGAAGCTTCCTTTCCGTGACGTCAATCCAATCTGCAAAAAAGGTAATTTTAAAGAAATTGCTACTAGGAGACATTATCAACTAGAAAAGAGATTATCAAAAAATATAGAATTTAAAGAACAATATGCACAAGTAATAAAGGAGTACTTACATCTTAATCACATGGAGTTAGTTCCTGAAGGGCAGCGCGATAAACCAGATGTGGTGTACTTGCCACACCATGCCGTAGTACGTAATGATAAGGTGACATCTAAGGTTAGGGTCGTCTTTGATGCTTCCTGCTCTGGAACTAATGGTGTGAGTCTGAACAACGATCTGTTAGTGGGTCCATCTCTTCAGAATACTTTGAGGCATATTGTTATGCGATGGCGCAAATATCCCATTTGTTTGGTAGCAGACATCGTTAAGATGTATCGACAGGTGAAGGTGAAGCTGGAGGATGCAGATGAGTTTCAGCGTATTTTGTGGCGCGATGAATCTGGAACAATACAACATTACAGAATGTTACGTGTCACGTTCGGAGTTGCGTCTGCACCTTACCTTGCCGTTAGAGTCCTGCAGCAAGTGGCCTACGATGAAGGTGTAAATCATCCCGCTGCTGTTGAGAAAATTATAAATGATTTTTATATGGACGATCTTATGACGGGCTGCCAAACTGTCGAAGAGTGCCTGAAAATAAAAAATGAAATTAGTAACATATTAAGTAAGGGAGGATTTGAATTGCAGAAATGGGCAAGCAATAATAAGGAGTTTATGGAGAAGGCGGGAAAGGGAAGAGGAGAGAAAGAATCAAGGTTAAAAATAGGAGAAGGAAAAGAATCCGAAACTATTCAGAAAGTGTTAGGACTTACCTGGAATAGTACAACAGACGAAATTGAATACAGTGTTAAACTACCGCAGTTAGAATTTCCAGTAACAAAGAGGAAAGTAATTTCGGATATTTCGCGTTTGTTTGATCCTTTAGGGTGGATAGCCCCAACTATTATTACTTCTAAAATTTTTATTCAAAAACTTTGGATGTCGGGTATAGATTGGGACCACGAACTACCACCTCATTTGTTACAGGAATGGCTTACTTACCGGTCAGATCTTGCAAAACTTAACCATTTCCGCATTCCTCGATGGATTCACACAAATGCTGATGATAAGGAAGTAGAGCTGCACGGTTTCAGTGATGCGTCAAATCATGCCTATGCTGCAGTGATATACGTTCGCAGTATAGATAAGAATAATGCAGTAAATGTGAATTTAGTCACATCGAAGACAAAGGTGTCGCCAATTAAACAAGTCTCCATCCCTCGGTTGGAGCTCTGCGGTGCTCAGCTTCTTGCCAAACTGATTTTAGAGGTTTCAGAGACATTAGAGATTCCTAAAGAGAAAATTCACGCTTGGACAGACTCTTCTGTGGTACTTGCGTGGCTTAGTAGTCACCCAAGTAAATGGAAAACCTTTGTTGCGAATCGCACATCGGAGATCTTGACAATTTTAGATCGAAGTCAATGGGCACACGTAAGGTCTAAAGATAACCCAGCTGATTGTGCGTCAAGGGGTGTTAAAGATTATGACAATTTAAGCTTGTGGAGACATGGTCCATCTTGGCTAAGCGAAGCTACGATCAATTACAGTCCACAAGAAGAATGCCAAGATACCAAACTGGAAGAAAGAGATAAAAAACTTTGTCATGCTGTAGATAGTGTTGAGATGAATGAAGAATTATTTACAAGATTCTCAACGCTTCGAAAACTCATTAGAACTGTGGCTTATTTGAGGCGTTATTTAAAATGGCTACGTTCTTCTCGTAAAACTGTTTTTCCTACTTATCTAACAAATCTAGAGTTGAAAGAGGCGTTAGAAAAATGTATAAGTTACTTTCAGAAGAAGTTCTTTGCTTGTGACATCGAAAGTATCATTAAATTTGAATCAGTAGCTAAGAAGAGCAAACTCATGTCTCTTAATCCGTTTTTAGATAGCAATGGTTTGTTACGAGTTGGGGGACGTTTGCAGAATGCTGAGTTAAGTGACGACATGAAACATCCTATTTTGATTCCACGTAACTCGCATTTAGCACAACTCATCATCGCAGATGCACACGAAAGGACTCTTCATGGAGGCCCACGGCTAATGCTCAGTTTTATTAGGACGAAGTACTGGATTGTTGACGCTAAGAATTTAGTCAAGTTGTATGTCCGCAAATGCGTCACATGTATTCGTTATGCTCCTCCGTCTAATCAACCCATTATGGGCCAGTTGCCTGCATCTCGAGTGACAGCTGATAGACCTTTTCGTCAGACCGGAGTAGATTATGCAGGACCCATTGCAATAAGAACCACAAAGGGTAGAGGTCATCGCTCTACTAAAGGTTATATTTGCCTCTTTATATGTATGGCTACTAAAGCTATACATCTTGAAGCTGTGAGTGATATGACCTCTGAAGGATTTATAGCCGCATTTAAACGTATGGTGGCCAGGCGGGGCCACGTTTCAGATTTATGGAGCGATAATGGTTCTAATTTTGTAGGTGCTGAAAAGGAGATTAAAAATTTAATTCTTGAAGAAAGGTCAAGTGTATCTGTTGAAATCGCTAGATGGCTTTCAGGCAACGGCACTACTTGGCATCGTATCCCACCCTATACTCCACACTTTGGTGGATTATGGGAGGCAGGAATTAAATCAACGAAGCACCACCTAAAGAGAGCGATCGGGAACTCAACTCTGACGTTCGAGGAGATGAGTACAGTTCTTTCCCAAATTGAGGCTTGCCTTAATTGAAGGCCATTAACAACTTTAAGTGATGACACACAGGATCCATACCCATTGACACCCGGACATTTTCTTGTAGGAGAACCTCTCTTACTAGTTCCAGAGGCCAATTACGAGAAGTCAACTATAACTAGTCTCCGAAGATGGCAGTATGTACAACGAATGACGCAGTATTTTTGGCGACGGTGGTCTAGTGAGTATTTATCTCAGTTTCTACACCGTTATCGTTGGAATCGTCATTCTCCTGAGCCTAAAATTGGAGATGTCGCTTTAGTTAAGGAAGAAAATCTTCCACCAGCCAGATGGCTTTACGGCGTAATTGTTGACAAACACACTGGTCAGGATAATGTTACGCGTGTTGTAAGTTTAAAATGCAAAGGCATTATCATCAAAAGACCTATTTCTAAAATTTGTATTTTACCAGTTACCTAATTAGTAAGTTGAGAAACTAAGACAATACGTAATGTTAGTTTAAGATTTTAAATAATTTTTTTAAGGTTTGTTCGTTTAAGTTTGTTGAAGGTTGGTTTTGTTTAAGTTGAGTTATATTGTAGAAGTTCAAATTCTTTATATTGATTATTTGTTAACTTTGTGTAAATATTGTTTATAAGTTATATATTTTTTAAATTGTTTGCACTTCATCTATAATGGATTAGACTTAGTCAAATTATTAAGTTAGATTAATTTTCTTATGAACCGTTCGGTCCATGGTGGGCGGAATGTACAATCTATGTTGTCATTTGCGTAGTTTACATTTGTTGCTGATAGATGGAGTTAGGGGTATGTTGAATCACGCTATCGTTTGGTTCTTTCGAATAAGCTAAAAGGATAATTGAGAAACATATTAAATGACGGTCCAAATCACAGGTTGTTTTATTGTGACATCAGAAGGAGACGAAGTGTCTCCTGAAGCAGAAGTGGATCGTACAGTACGTATGTACCTATGTATGTATGTAATTATAATGTATTTTGCTGGAGAATTATACACATTGTTTTATATAAATTATCAAAAACAAAAAATCATAAATGATTACATTGATATTTTAAAATGTTTTAGCGGTTGATCTAAATATAATATAATTTCATAAGCTTAACCGCTTGCACGACGGGCGGTGGAATCAATATATGAAATGACAGCTATTATTACTAACTTTATCGAGACTCTTCGAAGCAGCATTAAAGTAATGGAGTGAGATGATTTTTTGCTTGTAGATATTAATTATTATATATGCCGGAAAATGCTACAAGGTGTTTTATTTCTCAATTTACCTACCACATTTAGACACCAATTAGGCTCACGTTATGTGTGTAATATACTGTATATTACAAAAGCCACTGAAAATAATCAAATAGTGAAGAAAACCTAAAAAAATATATGATAAAAGCATCTACAAAAACTATGATTTATGTTATATATTTATGTATAACATAAAATATCATAGTAGGTATATGTAATATATTCATGTAACAAACTCACTTGTAAGCAGGGGCACATTGGCCACCTGCGGCGCAACGCGTGGGGCATCTTCTTGCGCGGCGGCTCTGTGTCGGGCGCGTCGCCGCACGCCCAGCGCACGAGGCGCGCGCGCGCCGCCTCCGCCGCCTCCAGACCGCGCGACCAAGATGGGAGACCCTGATAACAATAACAAATCAAATATAAATAACCGAGAAATATGATACTTTCTTAGATTTACGCGAATACTTGATATTTTAAATATCTATTCATATAATGAAATTGTAACTAACTAAGCCGAATCTCTACATTAAATATTTTTTTGGAAAATCTTATTGCTATAGACATTATTATCGATACAGAGGCCGAATCTATAGTTTTTAGAAGAATTGTCTGTCTGTCTGTGAAACCACGGTCACGGAGTCACGGAAAAACCACTATCCCTCAAATCCCCAAAATCCCTCCATTTTGATAAAATTTGGTATGACGACAGCTGGTTATCCAGGTCAACATATAGGATACTTTTTACTGCGGGCATATTATAAGGTACTTTGATGCCATTTTTGTATTTTTGAAAATCATTGTATTATTTGTAGGGGTAGGTGCTGTCTGTAACAACTATAAAATTACCTTTCAAACGTCTAAAACCTTAATCTCTCCCGTGACCATGATTACTGCAAAGTATTCGAAACGTCGGGAACAATAAATCAAAATAAATCTGCGAAAAAGCCCGACTAACTAATTTTATTTAAAACGATAAATATGATATCTTAATCTTTTACATAATTGTTTTTCATATTTTAGAATAGGGAGATACTAAATAATTACGAAAATTTGTATGTGTTGCATGTTTGTTACTCATTCGTACTATTTTACTATTACGGCTGGATGGATTTAGGTGTTATGTAGTAGGTACACAAAGAGACCAGAGGTAACATAATTAGGGTACCCTAAGATAAAGAGAGGGTAAGTAAGTAAGGGGAGAGTGGTAAGTCGCTAGTAAACATAAAAAATATACCTATATATATTATTAGGTACACGTTAAGACAATTGACATAAACAAGATAAATAAAAGAGCAAATTAAACTTATCATATAACTAAATTAAATCAAAGCACTAAATAATACTTTCAAAATCCGCACAGCTATTGCAAATTTTGTAAGCGAGTGCACTGTAATAAATTAACTAAACAAACACGCCAAATTTTGAAACTACATACTAGAATTTACATTTGTTTTCAATAGTTTGGGAAACAGAAAATGATGACACCACCATTCGTATATGCTTGCTAAACTCTGGCATATATTTTACACCCTATTTATTGACTTTATCGATTTTAAATTGCATGATGATTACTAGAAAAACAAACTTTCGCTTGTGAGCTACCATGTCAACTATATGTATATAAAGTAAATAACCTGTATTTTATGTAAAATCAAATGAAACTATACATTATATGTAAAAGAGATATTCAGCATAAAATAAATATTTCGACACTCGCACAAAGGTAATTTTTATATTTACAAACAAAAAAAAACGAAGGGCATCCACTGACAGTAAATTACTATAAATAATAAAATTAATTAATACCATCTATAATAACTAAAGAGAGTAGAAGGCTAAGTAGTCCATAGGTCCATAGTTTCGGTCATATGCTCAAATAACTACACGACGATCCTTTCGAGAATTTCAATATTCTCACAAAAAAATCATTTTCTTTGAACATTTTCTTTCGCCGTATAAATTAGTAGTCATGTTTAAAAATGGGAATCAAACATGAAAATGTCAAAGGTGCGAGACCCGTGTTTGAACTTCACTTAGGTTTTGAAGAAAGCGTGTTACCGTTATGAGCTATCATTGCATAATAGTTTACTCGGAAACCAATCAATATTTAACATTTTATAGCTTATGCTTAAGAAATGCAGTCGACGACTTGATTGCATATAATTTAATGACGCTAAATTTATTACTATACATTTGACATAGTAAATACTAGCGACACACGTCCCTAGGTTAATTCCCCATACAACATATTATCCCCATTTTCACCCCCTTAATGGATGATTTGCGGGATAAAAACTATCCTATGTTATTCCCAGGGTCTCAAACTATCTACCTACCTAATTTCATTTAAATTGGTCCAGTAGTTTCCGAGCCTGTTCAGTACAAACAAACAAACAAAAAATCAAATCATTCCTCTTTATAATATTAGTATAGATTATATTGCTAAAGCAAAATAGTCTAATCATCGACCAATTGCAATTCATGTAACTAGAAACTGGATGTAAAACTGTAAATAATTTCTCTCATCTCCTTATGCATAATTTAGAAATTAGATATTTTGAATACAAACACTCGCTGTGAAAAGTGAAAATTTTTTGATCAGATATATTGGACTGACGCAATCGGTTAAGGAAGATATCGTTCACAAGTTACTTAAAAGGAGTGCCCAAAAACCAGTAAACAAGTTTCAAACTATAACTTATTGGGAGTAACTTGTTAGTTTTATTTTAGAAATTAAGATTCTTGATTTATATTATAATTTATATGGCCCTTCTCCACTGACTTTATTGCTACTTATGCAAATAGTTACATTCAAATCTGTTTATAAATTCTGTAAACCAATTAGCTTAAGGAAATCTTCCTGATTTCAAATAATTACAAAAAAATGCCGAAATATTATGTTAATTTAATGAATTATTTTATCATTAATCATCGCTTGAATCTAATGGGCATTGGCAATAATACATATGTTAGAATGTCATAAATTTAGCACAGTATCGAAATAGGAAGCATTTTCTTACATAAATTATGTCGTTACGAATCAGTTTTAATCTTTTGATTTACTAATACTTTCATTGCAACATTTGATCTCCAAAACATATTAGTTGTGTAACACAACCTTAAAGAATTCCCGACCCAATTCCGATACTAAACAACCGTGGTTGAACCGTATCAGAGGTATTTCGTCACAACAAAACGTATTGTTCGCTTGAACTTTGTTCGACATTTAGCAAAGTATTGCGGGAGATCGGAACGGATGATTAGCGAGTGCCGATAGCGTTTCCACCTTACTGACTGTTTACTTAAAATGTTATTTTAACGTGTAAAATCTTGTGGGTGACGCAAAACAAGGCTTATAATATGTTTCGTGGGATAATACTTGATAATAAGGAAACATTTTTAAATATTATGTCATTTTCGATGAATACCATCTTTTAGTAGGTACTAATAATAATGATCAATAAGTACCTATAGGTATACATATATATATTTTTTTAATATTTTTTTTTGGATTATTACTAATACGAAATATGCATATTTAAATTACTTATACAGTGTAACAAAATGAAAATCAATTTATATACGCAGCCGCAACAAACATCTTTACAAATCGCAGTTTCCACATCGTGTACTAAAATATTCCATATCAATATCCAAGTATTGCAAGGTAAATGTGGCAAATCGAATCGGACGTATCGAGTCGATCACCGCCGACCGTGAACTTTAATAAAGCCGCAGGAAACAGCTGTCAACGATCTACACACGCACAAAGTAGGTACTCCCCTTTTGATTTCAAGTGATATTAACAAGCGTGAAAAGCAAACTAATCAAGGACTCCTAATAAACAGATTAATCCATTTAATTCTTTAATACAATTAAAGAATGAAGTTTATTATATGTAAGTTATTTTGAAAATGATATAATCATACTCGTAAAATCGATTAATTTATACTTTCTTAGATTTACGCGAATATTTTACAAACTATCTTTTCGGATTTTTTCACGAAACGTCGGGAACCAAAAATCAAAATAAATCCGCGTAGAAATCCGAAAAGATAGTTTTATTGAATAATTATTAAGAAGACAACTATATTACTTTTTCTATGAACATAGAAATTATAGTTATAATAAAAAATATATACATATACATATAAAAATTAACATCAAAACCAACAATAATGCTTTCCATAAACGAAAGTATAATAAAAAGAAATATAAAACGAAAGACAGTATACGTAGGTACATGTCAAGTAGACTAATATACCAATCATGCTATCTAAAACTATAAACTTTACTTAAAAGCCGTTACATCGACTACTACAAATAGCTTACTCATTATCCCGTTATGGATAGTAAATCCATACTAATATAATTAATGTGAAAGTGTGTTTGTTTGTTTGTCCTTCTTTCACGTCGAAACGCAGTGACGGATTGGCGTGATTTTTTGTGTGAAGATATTATTTAATTCCCACGGGAAAACACGTAATAATACAATGCAAAAAAACTATATAATCAGAATTACTTGAAAATTGGTATTAGTGCTCTTCAATAAAATTAAATAAATACCTGTTTCAGCATTTTTCGAAATTCATCCTATAAAGGGGTTAAATAGGGGATAAAAGTTTGTATGAAACTACCTTTTTAGAGTTTTTTGCAGTTTTAGCGCGAGCGAAGCCGCGGGTTCTGCTAGTAGTCAATAAATGAATAAATATTTGTGGACTCACTACATATTTAAATTTCAAAATATTATCATAGCAACTATGCTGATACACAATAGAACAATTAGTTATAAACAATATTTATAATCAATGAGCGTGGAAAGCGCAAATTTCGCCAACAATCGAACAATGGTTGACCACTTTCTTCTGACCGTGAACGATGGCTGCGCTAGTGTGTCAGGGGGTCGGCATCGCTATGGATATCACGTAGCCATAGGAGATGAGCTGACGTGAAAGTGAATTCAAGCCATTACACTAGGTGATAGATAGAACAGAAACAATTATAAACTAACATCCAAAAGTAGTATTATGCGAATATACTCAGTTATTTCATGGACCAGTTCGTTTTGAGCGATTTTTTCTTCATATAGGTACATATATTATCCGGTACCATAACTATATTTTATTCACGCAGAGGAATATAGACGAATTTTTAAAGCATTGATTGTCGACATCAATACACAAAATAAATACGTAAATTTGTCGGATTTTTAAGAATATATTAAAAACATAATTGATAATAACCAAATTCCTACAAAAATATATTAATACATATTTGACCTATGGTCGGTAATCAATGAATGACTGCTATATACGCATCTAAACAACAACTTAATAACATACAGATATAATCTCTTTGTAGTAATATAAATATTTAGTAGACTCATGACGTTCAGT